TGTTCCAGTGTCGAGTCCTTGACGCCCTTGTCGCTGCGGTCGCTGACTTCGCCTCTACCCGCTGCCTTGACTACGCCTCCGCTCTGGTCTCTGACCCTGCCTGTCCTCCGTCTGTCGGGGGTGCTCCTGCCCTCGGCAGTGACGTCCTGGAGGACCGCCAGTTTGAGCTTGCTTTCCTGTCTGAGGCTGCTCCCCATCTCTGTTCCATGCTGCTAGTCCCTGAGGGTGACCCAGACGCTTTTGACATCCCGACCCCTCGTACTTACGCTGAGGCGGTTTCGGGACCTTGGGCCTCTCAGTGGATAGCTGCCATGGAGCAGGAGATGGCATCTTGGAGATCCACCGGCACCTTCGTCGACGCAGTTCCCCCACCTGGGGTGAACGTGGTCGATGGCCGTTGGCTCTTCAAGGTGAAGCGCCCTCCTGGAGAGCCGCCTGTGTTCAAGGCGCGTTACGTGGCTAGAGGCTTCAGTCAGCGCGAGGGGGTGGACTTCTTTCAGACTTTCGCTCCTACCCCGAAGATGACTACTCTTCGGGTTCTGCTACACGTAGCGGCTCAGCGTGACTACGAGCTTCACTCCCTCGACTTCTCCACTGCCTTTCTTCAGGGCAGCCTTCACGAGCAGGTCTACCTGCGTCGTCCTCAGGGCTTTACTGGCACCTTCCCCCCTAGGACCCAGTGGCTTCTGCGGCGCCCAGTCTACGGCCTGCGCCAGGCGCCTCGTGAGTGGCACGACACGCTGCGTGCTACTCTTGCTGACCTGCAGTTCTTTCCGTCATCTGCAGACCCCTCGCTCTTCGTTCGTGCTGGCTCGACTCCGTTCTACATCCTCGTCTACGTAGACGACCTGGTCTTTGCCACAGCTGACAGGGACGCACTGGCCTCCGTGAAGGCAGAGCTGCTGAAGAGACACACCTGCACTGACCTTGGAGAGCTGCGCCGTTACCTTGGCTTGCAGATCTCCAGGGACAGAGCCGCCCGCACCATCACCCTGACTCAGTCACACTTGGTGCGCCTGGTCCTTCAGAGGTTCGGCCTTCAGTTCTCCTCCGCACAGCCCACCCCTCTTCCTCTGGACCACAGACTCTCCGCTCCAGTTCCTGAGGAGTCGGTAGATCCCAGTGGTCCTTACGCTGAGCGAGTGGGTTGCCTCATGTACCTGATGACTTGCACTCGCCCAGATCTCGCATACCCTCTCAGCATCCTGGCGCGCTTTGTGGCCACAGGCAGACACCGACCTCAACACTGGTCTGCCGCTAAGAGGGTTTTGCGTTATCTTGCAAGTACATCGGGCATGGGGTTAGTGCTAGGCGGACGCAGGCCAGTGGTCCTTACTGGACACACAGACGCTTCTTGGGCAGACGACGCCGAGACGCTCAGGTCTTCCCAGGGCTACTGCTTTAGCCTTGGCTCAGGTGCTGTCTCGTGGAGAGCTACCCGCTCCTCGTCGGTTGCCCAGTCCAGCTGTGAGGCTGAGATCTACGCCGGTGCCATGGCGGCACAGGAGCTCCGCTGGCTGACCTTCTTGCTCACTGACTTAGGTGAGCGGCCTAGCTCTGCCCCGGTCCTGTACGCTGACAATAGGGCCATGATCCTCCTGTGTCAGGAGCCTCGACTCGAGGGCAGAGCGAAGCACATTCAGCTGCGGTACTTCCTCCTGCGCGAGCTACAGCAGCGGCGCCAGGCTCGCGTAGTACACTTGGCCTCCGGTGCCAACACAGCTGATATCTTTACGAAGGCGCTTGCGCCTAAAGATCATCAGCGGCACTGTTTACAGCTTGGTCTGGTTCCTGTAGTCTCTCACTTACTCGGGCCTTGACTTTGTATTGTCGTATATATATATATGTATACACTCAGACTGGACTTGTGTCCTCTCACAGTGGCTGGACTAGTAGTGCCGCCCTGTACTCGTTCTTGCCTTGTCTGTACTCCTTCTGACTGGTCTTTTAGACCCTTGTCTCAGAGGCTGGACTAGTAGTGCCACCCTGAGCTACTTGTCTAGAACATTCCCCTATGCAGTCCAGGGGGTGTGTCAAACATGTGTAGTTATCATGTTTGTATAGACTGTATAGGGTCACCTTCTAGAGAGTACAACATTTAGGTATATGTTTGTGTACTCTCTCTCTCACATTATTCAATTCTAGGTTTGATACTTCAATACCTATCCAGAGGCCTGCCCAGCGGTTAAGCGTTGAGTTAAAACCTTGGCTCTGATACCAAGTGTCACAGGATCGAATGAGGTTTGCTCAATGTTGCACTATCAATCAATACAAGGTGCTTTTATACTTCCATAGTATATCAGGTAACCAGGTTTATCCTATCCAAAGGGAATAGACCATTCTAGAAATAGAATCACCTTGCGTAGAGCCACACGAGGCTATTGGCTTTAAGGGATTATGGCAGAATTACGCTAGATATAGCGCGCCAGTACATCCCGAGCCTGGTCGGTGATATAATTATAATGACAGGATAAACCAATGGATAATGGAAAAGCAGGAATAGGAAACCAAATGAGATGAGTAAAGGACCGAATGAGTCAGGATAAAAAGAGGGATGAAATAGATATGAAATACGGAAAGGGGAAATTGGTGTTGTTAGAAGGCTAGCTTAGCTAGGAAGCTAGGAAAGGCATGAGGTTTAGCTAGGAGGAGCCATGGAGTGGTGTGAGGTTTAGGAAGGAGAAAAGTTGAGGAGAGAAAAGAGAGTTGGAATAGAAAGAGAGACGCATACAAGGAGGGGTTTGTACCCTCTACAGTAATGTTCGGTATCCTACCAAGCCTAACAATTATATAACTCAATATATAAATTTAACACACCCCCTAGGCTTGGTAGTCACAAGCCCACACACACCCCCACACCCCCTAACCTAGCACCCCCATTCCAGCCACAGTGACAGCGACACTAGCTCGGTCGACCCCTCGGCGCGTGAGGCGGCGACGTCGACCGCAGGGGCTGCGGCGGCGACGGCGGCAGCGGCGGCAGTGTCGACAGCGGCGGCAGTGTCGACAGCGGAGGCGGCGGCGGCGGCGTGCGGCTGCGTGGCTCCGACGCAAGCGGCGACAGCGGCGGCGGCGGCGGCTTCGACAACAGCGGCGGCGGCGGCGGCGCCCGCACCTCTCGGTGATGTGGCCAGGCCCCGCGACGGTGGGACGGCCGGCGGGAGTCAGCCGTCGTCTGCGGGAAGGAAGAGGACACAGGGGAAGGAGGGGGGGGGACGCCACAGGCTGGCATGCGGGCGGCCGGTCTAGCGGCGCCACAGGCATCGCGCGGCCGGCTGCAGCCCGACGACGCCGTCACAGAGCGGCGTCGACGCCGCGGTGGGACGTCGACGCTGCGACGGCAGCACGACGGCCCGACACCACGGCAGCGCGTCGAGACGGCCGCGGCATGACGCGGCCAGCGGCATCACGACGCCGCCACTGCAGCAAAACGTGGCCGCCATGGCCGCGCGAGTGAACGAGGGTGAGGAGTACGCGGCGGCAGCGTGAGGAGGTGGTCCAGCAGGGAGGACCTCTTGCTCTGATAGCATGTTAGAAGGCTAGCTTAGCTAGGAACTAGGAAATGCATAAGGTTTAGCTAGGAGGAGCCATGGAGTGGTGTGAGGTTTAGGAAGGAGAAAAGTTGAGGAGAGAAAAGAGAGTTGGAATAGAAAGAGAGAGGCATACAAGGAGGGGATTGTACCCTCTACAGTAATGTTCGGTAACCTACCAAGCCTAACAATTATATAACTCATTATATATTTTTAACAGGTGTAACCATGTACTCTCACATCCTCCTACGCCTCTGCCGGCCGTCTTCTTCTCCCCTTGCTCTGATATCATCTCGGAATAACGCAATGATTAGAAAGAGGCACACAAGGAGGTTTTGTGCTATGGTGTTGTGTTGTATTCCATAAGAGCATGCATCTATAAAGTCAATAAAAACATACAAATATATATATTGACACTAACACAGTATATGGACATCCGTTTGTACCAAGCGTACTCTTGCAGCAGCTATGCCACTCAATCAACCTTCTACAACCCTACCCTCCCTTTCCCCCCCTGTACCTCCTCGCCTATCTCCTGCGCGTCTAGTTGCATCCGCCGGGAGTGAGATCGGGGGAGGGACGGGAAGCCAGGAGAGAGAGGTGTGGAGAGCGGTGCAGAGGGGTGGGGTCTGAGGCTGCGGTGGGGTAAGCGGAAGGAGTGCATGGTGGTGCCGTTGGCTGCGATGAAGGTGAAGTCCTGTGGTGGAGGGGGGGGCACAGGAGGGACAGGGCACAGATGAGACTTTAAAGTCGACTCAAAAGACATCTCGGAAGGAGTGCATGGTGGTGCTGTCGGCTGCGATGAAGGTGAAGTCCTGCGGTAGGAGCGTGATTGTTCGATGCGCTGTGCTTGTTGCAGCAGCCGCAGCTTGCAGCCTTTGGTTAGAAATGCGCTGGTGATGTGTGTGTAAGTGCGCCAATCCGCACTTGGTGCAGTGCAGTGAGGGTGGTGAGCGGTGCAGTGCAGTGCAGTGGGGAGTGTCCAGCCGATGAACACCACCCACATCAAGCATACCAGAACACGACAAATGATGACCTACGCATTCAACATACCAGCCAGTCGCACGTGGCAGCGTGCTTTATGAAGCCAAAGGAGGAGTAAGCTCAGACAGTGTCAGAGGTGGGGCGCACCCAGTGCCACACCACACGACAGCTAACCCCCGCACCTTCACTGCCCTATGCACCCGACACACCATCCAGTCGCACATGGCAGCATGCTTGATGGAGCAGAAGGAGTCAGGTGAATGTCCACAACAAAGATAGTTCGGCATACCAGCCTGAAGGCAACCATGGCAGCAGTAACAGCACTCGCAACATACCAGCCAGTCGCGCGTGGCAGCGTGCTTAATGAAGCCGAAGAAGGAGGAGTCAGCCCACACGGTGTCGCCTGTCGGGTGCACCCAGTGCCGCTTGTACCCCCCCACGCCATTACCAACGTGCACCACTCCGCACCGCTCTAAGTGCTGCGCCACGTGGTCGTGGCCAAAGAGATACACGTCCTGTGGTGGGCATGGGGAGAGAAAGAAAACAGATGAAAACGAGAAAGGGAGGGGAAGGGGGGGAGGGAGAGAGGGGTTAGGAGAGCGAGGGAGGAGTGAAAAGTGCAAGCGAGGTGTGTCAAGGGAGAGGGAGGCAAGAGGGAAGACTGAGGGATGTGCGAGGAGAGGCAGGGCGTTTGCATAGCGTGACTTGATTATACGCGACGGGCTTGCGGGAAAAAGGCAGACGCAATGACACCTAAAAGACGGGAACAAGTAGACGCAGGTCTCACTCCAGAACAGGGAACGGATGATGAGTGGGGTGAGACTGTGCTGTGTTCACCACGTGGCGCTTCTACCAACCCTCACTCACCGCTTGATGCTTCTGCTGCACTCACCGCTTGGTGCTCGTGCAGCAGGAGCGGCAGCAGTCCTTGAGCCAACTCGAGCGTCCCATGTCCTTGTGTCCTGCACTCACCATGTGGTGCTTGTGCCACGGCCCCTCACTAACCACGTTGTGCTTCTTGTGCTGCAGCGGTAGCAGTCCTTGCCCCAAGTCATAATAAGTGTGCTGCACTCACTACGTGGTGCTTGTGCAGCAGCGGCAGCAACAGCGAGGAGAAGCGGGGCTCTGCTGGGAAGCGAGGGCGCACTCCCGCTGTGATGATGGGACGATGGCCCACCACCACCTTCCTGGGTCGATGAGGCGGAGGGGTGAAGAGGGAAGTGAGAGGGGTCAGAAAAGTGAAGAGAGCAAAAGGGGCGGGAAGAAGCTGGAGGGAGACGAATGTGAAAGGGAGAAATGGGAAAAGGGAATGGAAGATAGACTGCGGGGAAAGGACGGGAAAGAGCGGGGAGAGGAGGGGGGGGAGGGGGATGGAGATGGGGCAAAGAGGCTAACAAACGGGGGACCTGTCATACAACTTCCACGTCAGGTCATAAGCCACCCAGAGGCCATTGCGGCCAAAACCAACAGCAGCTTGATGCCTCTCGAGTCGCGCCCCTCACCCATCCCTGTCCCACATCCCCCCCTCCCCTCTCCCCCCCTCACCCCTGCTCTTCCCTTCCCCTCTCTCACCATCTTGCGGTGCTGCGCTCAAGCTGTGCCTCCAGCCACTTCAGCTGCTGCCTTCCTGCCTGTATGCATGCATGGAGGTGCAAGAAGGAGATTTGAGAGATGGTGGGGAGATGGTGGGGAGATGGTGGGGAGATGGTGGGGAGATGGTGGGGAGATGGTGGGGAGATGGTGGGGAGATGGTGGGGAGATGGTGGGGAGATGGTGGGGAGATGGTGGGGAGATGGTGGGGAGATGGTGGGGAGATGGTGGGGAGATGGTGGGGAGATGGTGGGGAGGTGGTGGGGAGATGGTGGGGAGATGGTGGGGAGATGGTGGGGAGATGGTGGGGAGATGGTGGGGAGGTGGTGGGGAGATGGTGGGGAGATGGTGGGGAGATGGTGGGGAGATGGTGGGGAGATGGTGATGGAACACAGTTGGTTTCTGAAAATTCTCAAAAACCACCTCGCTTCACTCTTTTCCCTCGCACTCGCTCGGTCACTGTCTCAAATGAACGCTCCATTCGTATCCTGCGTGCAAGCATGCATGCGTCATCCATGAAGGTGCAAGGTGTTAGGTGCAAGGTGCAAGGTGCAAGGTGTTCGGTGCAAGGTGCACGGTGTTAGGTGCAAGGTGTTCGGTGCAAGGTAAAAGGTGTTAGGTGCAAGGTGCAAGGTGCAAGGTGTTAGGTGCAAGGTGTCAGGTGCAAGGTGCAAGGTGCAAGGTGCAAGGTGCAAGGTGTTAGGTGCAAGGTGCAAGGTGCAAGGTGTCAGGTGCAAGGTGCAAGGTGCAAGGTGCAAGGCGCAAGGTGTTAGGTGCAAGGTGCAAGGTGCAAGGTGTTCGGTGCAAGGTGCACGCTGTTAGGTGCAAGGTGCAAGGTGCAAGGTGCAAGGTGTTAGGTGCAAGGTGCAAGGTGCAAGGTGCAAGGTGCAAGGTGTTAGGTGTTAGGTGCAAGGTGCAAGGTGCAAGGTGCAAGGTGCAAGGTGCAAGGTGCAAGGTGCAAGGTGTTAGGTGCAAGGTGCAATGTGCAAGGTCCAAGGTGCAAGGTGCAAGGTGCAAGGGGCAAGGTGCAAGGTGCAAGGTGTTAGGTGCAAGGTGCAAGGTGGAAGGTGTTAGGTGCAAGGCGCAAGGTGCAATGTGCAAGGTGCAAGGTGTTAGGCACAAGGTGCAAGGTGAAAGGTGTTAGGTGCAAGGTGTTGGGTGCAAGGTGCAAGGTGCTAGGTGTTAGGCGCAAGGCGCAAGGTGCAAGGTGCAAGGTGCAAGGTGCAAGGTGGAAGATGGTAGGTGCAAGGTGCAAGGTGTTAGGTGCAAGGTGCAAGGTGCAAGGTGTTAGGAGCAAGGTGCAAGGTGTTAGGTGCAAGGTGCAAGGAGCAAGGTGTTAGGTGCAAGGTGCAAGGTGTTAGGCACAAGGTGCAAGGTGCAAGGTGCAAGGTGTTCAGTGGAGAAATGGTGATGGGGTGAGTGCGAGGGGAAGAATGGGTGGCATGTGCGCGATGTGTGGGTAGTGGCAGCATGTGTGGTGCTACGGCAGCAAGTGTGGCGCCATGGCATGGCATGGCAGGCTCACCTGTGGGCCGACGAGGTCAAGTGAGTAGTTGGAGAAGAACCGCCGGTCATTGTCGTTGGACGCTCCCAGCACTCCCTGGCACGCACACGCACACACAAGGGGGGCGAGATGGAGTGGAGGTGGGGGTTTGTTGGACGCACACACATCAGCGCCAGTCATTGTCGTTGGACACCCCCAGCAATCCCTGGTGCACACACGCACGTACACACAAGGGGGCGAGATGGAGTGGAGTGGAGAAGGGGGTTTGTTGAGTCGACTCAAACATCACCGCCGGACGTTGTCGTTGGACGCTCCCAGCACTCCCTGAAACACACACGCACACGCACCAGGGGGTGAGGCGGAGTGGAGGGGGTTTGTTGAGCCGACTAAAAACCAGCACCGGTCATTGTTGTTGGACGTCCCTAACACTCCCCGATGCACTGACGCACACACTAGGGGGCGAGGTGGAGTGGAGAAGGGGGGGTCGGAGGAGAGGGGAAGGAGCGACAGGGGTTGAGAAGGAGTTCGAGGGAGAGCAAATGGGGGAGAAGGGAGGGAGGGAGGGAGGGCAAGAAACGTAACACATGGCACACACCACACCACGCCACACCACATCACACCACACCACACCACACCACACCACACCACACCACACCACACCACACCACACCACACTACACCACACCACACCACACCACAGCACATGAATAGCAGACACCAAAGACCCGTGGGAGCGTATCAAGAGGAGGAAATAGCACTGGAGGCCTATGCCATGCGTGCTCTTGAGCGAAGCGTGCTGCTAGCTGGCATCTCCCCCAACCTCATCCCATTAGCACGTGCACGGATCACCAGGGGCGGGTGGGGGGGAGAAGGTGAGGGGGTGCAGCAAGAAAGGAATGCACAAGAGAGAACTTTTGAGATGTTTCGGAACTGAACTGTTATTAAGTGAGAAAGAGCAATCAAGAGCAGGGAATAGCAGGGAAGGGCAGTGAAGAGCAGCGACGAGCAGTGAAGAGCAGTGGAGAGCGGTGAAGAGTGGCACCTCGAGGCCAATGGAGTTAGTGAAGAAGAAATCAATGTGGTCTGTAGTACCGCCAGAATCACTGCCATTACCACCACTGCTGCTTCCTTCCACCCCACTCCCGTTTCCTCCTGCTCCTCCCCCCTCCCCAGCTGCTGCCTCCCCACCTCCTTGCCCTGCTGATTCCTCCCCAGCAGTTGCTGCAGGGCGTGCAGAGTGCGTGCGGGGCAGCGGCAGGGAGAGGGAGTAGTAGGGCGCGGGGAGATACCACTTGGAAGAGGTGTGGGAGTGCGCGATCTGCGCCGCCACACTGCCCTTGTTGTCGTGATCGCCTAGAGACATGTACCTGCGGGGGGGGGGATGGGGGGGTGGAGGGGAAGGGGAGTGGGAGAGGGGGAGTTGGAGGGCGCAGGGAGATACTATCTAGTCAGGCGTGGGAGTGCGGTATATACGCCGCCACACTGCCCTTGTTCTCATGATCGCCTAGAGACATGTACCTGCGGGGGGGGATGGGGATGGGGATGGGGATGGGGATGGGGGGAAGGGGGAGACTGTGGGTGGTGGGAATGGGGCAGCGGGGTGCAAACCACAGCAGGTCCCAGCCCACGATTATTGCATATGATAGGAGGCAGGAGAGAGAGAGAGCAGGAGAGAGAGCAGGAGAGAGAGAGTAGAAGTGAGAGTAGAAGTGACAGCAGAAGAGACAGCAGAAGAGACAGCAGGAAATGGGGGGGCAAGAGAGCAGGGGTCAACTGACCATCGCACTTGCAGCGCGGGGTGCGTGTAGACCCCCTCGAACACCTTTTCAAACAGCGGGTCCGCTTCCCCCGTGACCCCGTTGTCATACACATTGTCCCCCACCGTCACCACGAACCGCGCCCCTGCTGCCTCAGCTACTGTGCCCATCTGATCAACAGGAACGGGAGAGGGCAGCGCGGGGCGGGGCAGGGCGGGGCAGGGCGGGAAGGGAAGGGAGGGGAGGGGAAGGGAGGCAGAGGGGCGGGAAGGGGCGAGAGTGACGGGGTAGGTGGGAAGGTGTGAAGCATCGTTGTGGCGCATGAGAGAGCAGAAAAAGAGCGGGCCGGCCACCTCCCCCCCCCTTCCCAGCCTCCCCCCCCTCCCCTCTCTCACCTGAGCTGCCACGGCTTTCTGAGAGTCGTTCGCATTACCGAAATCCCCAATCGACAGAAACACCATAGCTCCCGACTCTCCCTCCGCGGAACTCCCATCTCCATCCCCCGGCAAAGGAACAGTAACCCGCTCGTTACTATCACACCCGTTACTGTCTCCAACAGCCAAAAGAACCTCCCCGGGCAAGCCTCCCCCGCGAGCCTCTACCGCCACCACCCAATCCGCGCGCGGCCCCCATGCCCCCCCCGCGCCCGCCAGGGCCGCGCATATCCCCGTTAGAAGCAGCAGGAGGAGCGCGACAGCAGCGCATTTGGTGCCGAGAAACGCGCGCGGGTGGAGCAGGCGGCGGAGGAAGAGAGACGCCTGCAGGCGCATCTGCTGCATCAGCGGCGGCGCGCGGCGCTGCGGGGAATGGAGCGGAGCGCCGACGTCGCCGCTACCGTCGCTACCGCCGCCGCCGCCGCCGGCGGAAGCGGAGCCGGCGGAGCCTTCTTCCAGTCGGATCGGATCTGATGCGAGCGGATAGTCGGGACTTTGGTCGATGTGCTGCCGGCTGCTGGTTCGCTGCATGTGAAGCTAACGAGGACGCCTGCAGTGAGTAGGGGGAGAGAATGCGGCGCAAAACGAACTGGGTAATGCGGCTTTCCGTCCGCTTGTAGCGTGTAACGAGCGAGCAGGACAAGGCAGATGAAACTGGCCGAGACAAACGTTTATGCCCTATTCTGACTGACTCGAGGCGCCAGCGTTGGGCACAATTCTGCAATCAGTGTGTTTTACAGTCCAGTATGACGAATACTTGAGGCAGACTGTGGAGTCTCTCGAGGTCCCCCCCTCCCCTCCTCGAGATCATCAAGGAGAATGGCGAGGGTGCAAGCGACTTGCTCTGCTGTGAGTGAGCAAGTGCCATGTGTGCTTTTTCTAGTGCTGCTGTAGGGCTGCCGTTCGGGTGCATGCGAATTTGTGCGACACAATGCAGGTAGCTTCAACCAATGTGCTGCGGTTAGCGAGGCGACGACAGGGAGATTCTGATTCGCAGAAGTTGGGCGAACACTACCAAGCGATGGGACGAACATTTGTTTTCGCGATGTCCTCCTTGACAGGTGGGAGGTGTGGAGATTGTTGTCCTGACCAATCGGCCACCACAGTCGCCACCAAATGTGGTGTATGCTCCGTCGAAGCAATGGCAGGGTGGGAGACGACTTACAATAAGAATTACTGTAGATAAGCCTCATTAACTCTTCAAGTGTTGGGTTATCTCCGTTCCTAACAAAAGGCATGACATTGTGGCATGCTGGAGAAATTTCTCATGGGTTACAGTATAAATTGGTAAAAATGACTGCTTATTCACTTCTCACGACCTCATATCTCTCAGACACATGGTTGACACATGAAGGAAACTTGATCAAGTTTGTTTATAAGTTCAGGGATGAAAAAACCAGTCCCTTATACCATAATACCTGACCTGAAGGACCCTAGAGATTTATTGGAATACGTTACAAATGAAATTACAAAGACACTCATTCAGAGAACGTAGGCAAGCTGAAGTGTATTGAAGAAACAGCTAGGTTCGATGGAAGCTCCCAGAGCTCCACACCACAGAGCAAATGGGTGGCCATACACATGCTCCCGCTTTTGTTCGCGAACCAACCATCTAGAAGCCCAGCCTTCCCACGACAAATGTCTCCCTGACGATCCAGGAATAATCAATTCGCAGGAGGTGCCTTCTACCGTTATCTCTTCTGATTGGATAATACGATCCTTTATGCCACATAAGCCCCTATTCCTCCGTCCGATGAGCTCGCATTTTCCTACGATTGGCTGCATCATCCGTCCGCTTCGTTATCCGATTACCTTGGAATTCTCAGGGCGGAGCTTGCGCCCACACCCCAGCACACTGCCCCCCAACTCCCTCCACTCCCTCCTTCCCCCAGCACTAGTCCAGTGCCCATCAGCCCAATCCCCCTCCGCCGTGACCCCCCCCCACCCCTTCCCAATTCCGCCTGTGCGCCTCCCCTGTCTGCCTCCCTGCATTCAGCACCACAGCTCTACCCACTTCCCGCTCATCACATCACATTCCGTGATCTCTCAGTTAGCTTCGTCAGACCAGCGTTCCTCAGCTTTCTCCTTGGCCGAAGCCTGCTGCTGCTTCTCGCGTTCCCAAGTCGCACGCGAGTCTCAGTTACCCACACCAGGCTTCAGCCATGGCGCACGCTGTCGCTGCCTCCTCTTTCACCGCGGCTCTGGCCCCGGCCTCCGGGTCCTTCGCCGCTGCCGTGCAGAGGAAGACCGTGACGTTGAGGACCGTGCCGTGCGCAGCGGCCAGGCGGTGCAATGTCACCGCGAGCCTCTCCCCCATCGAGAAGCAGGTCTCCGCCGAGGAGATTCTCTCCAATGTCGACACCCAGAAGACCGTCGCTGCTTCCATGGCCGGCTCCCTCTTCGCTCTCCTTTCCAACGTCGGCTCCGCCGCCGCTGTTCAGGAAATCGCCACAATTGCTGACTCCGACAACCGTGCCGGAAGCCTGCTCATCGTGCTCCTGCCCGCCATCGGCTGGGTGCTCTTCAACATCCTCCGTCCCGCCCTGAACCAGCTTGACAAGATGAAGGGTGCTCGCGGCATCGCTGCCACCGCTGGTCTCGGTGCTGCTGCCGGCGCGCTGCTCGCTCCCGAGCAGGCCGATGCCGCTCAGCAGATCGCTCAACTTGCCGACTCCGACAACCGTGCCGGTGCCCTTCTCATCGTCATCCTCCCCGCTCTTGGCTGGGTGCTCTTCAACATCCTCCGCCCCGCCCTGAACCAGCTTGACAAGATGAAGGGCAAGAAGGGTGTCGCTGCCGCTCTTGGCCTCGGTGCCGCTGGTCTCCTCGCCGCTCCCCACGCCGAGGCTGCTCAGCAAATCGCTGAGCTGGCTGACTCCGACAACCGCGCCGGTGCTCTGCTCATCGTCATCCTACCCGCGCTCGGCTGGGTGCTGTTCAACATCCTGAAGCCCGGCCTTAACCAGCTTAACAAGATGAAGGGCAAGAGCGTCGTCGGCGCGCTTGGCCTCGGTGCCGCTGGTATGCTCGTTGCTCCCCACGCGGAGGCCGCGCAGCAAATCGCGGAGCTCGCTGACTCGGACAACCGCGCCGGCGCTCTGTTGATCGTGCTGCTGCCTGCTCTCGGGTGGGTGCTGTTCAACATCCTGCAGCCCGCCAAGAACCAGCTGGCCAAGATGAAATCGTCGAAGAGCGTCGTCGGTGCCGCCGGCATTGGCGCTGCCTCTGCTGCTCTCCTTGCTGCTGCTCCCGCCGAGGCTGCTCAGCAGATCGCTCAACTCGCCGACTCCGACAACCGCGCTGGTGCTCTTCTCATCGTCCTCCTTCCCGCTCTTGGCTGGGTGCTCTTCAACATCTTGAGGCCAGGCCTGAACCAGCTGAACAAGATGAAGGGTAAGTAAATCTGAGGTAGTTGTCCCTTTTTGGGTTTTACTGTGCAAGGAAGTTGGACATATTTGACAATTCGACTTGCACCTTGAACATCTGTTAAAATGCGAAGAACCTTTCTCCAGCCGTTACCACAATGCAGGCCATTGTTTTATATGCGTTAATTACTTCTCATACCATGCTCTACTGTTAAAAAGCAATGTCCTGAATGCATGTGGGGCTATATGCGAAATATATAGGCAGAAAGAGGCAATGTTGTTCTCGTTTAGAATATTGGTCCAAGGACGAAGTACATCTTCTCTGGTAACATAGGTGGTATAGTTTAGCATCACATGTTTTTTTCTTCTAAATTGGTTTCGGTTAGAAGGAATCGTCTAAAAAGTCTAGACTTGCATAATTTCTCATCCATAATACTGTGACAGGAACAGACACACGAAAAGCTTTTGAAACGCGAAGGGTTGCTTGCATTGTAAGGAATTTCCATTCCTGACTGACTTGTATGCGAGTGCCAGGCCTGTCATTATCAGGGTATTTTACCCTGATTCCCTGATTTCACAGGGTATTTTTAAGCCAACCCTTAATTTTCAGGGTTAGGTTTTTTTGAACCCTAACCTCTTCAGGGTTGTATGTCTGTGAACACTTAGAATTTCAGGGTTTGCTTATCCCAAAACTGAGTTTTCAGGGAGTAACGCGTACGTCTTGGAAACTTAGGACTAAAGGTTCTTAAACTTAGGAGGCTATGTTGGCTAGGATACTAGGAAGAAGACCGCCATGGAATGGCGTGAGGAAAACGGATCTAGGAAGGGAGAGAATGTCGAGAAGAAAGAGATTGGATTAGGAAGAGAGAGGAGTACAAGGAGGGGTTTGTACCCCCTACAGAAAGGTTCAGTAACAACCTACCAAGCCTATATTAACTTATAACTTATATAAGTTTAACAGTACGAACCCTGAGTGCGACATCCATGTGGCTCACAACGCGGAAATTTAGGCGAAGTCCCCAATCTCCAGAGACATTCCCCCCCACACACAACAACATACAAAAATTGGAGAAGTCCTCAAACATTCCCTCACACACCAAGCTGTCAAATATATGTATAACTCATATTTGTATAGACTGTATAGGGTCACCTCTTAGAGGGTACAACACTCTTATATACCCTTGTTCTCTCTCTCTATAAAACACTTGTTCATTTTTTCTTCTCTACATGGTATCACCCGTAGGTTCGACCCCCCCCCCCCCCCCCCCCACCTCCCGCTTCCGCCCGTGCCTCCTAGGCCCCGTCGCGCTTTCACCTAGGCCCCGTCGCGCCGCCCCCACCTAGGCCCCGTCGCGCCCCTAACGCACCTCCTCGCCCGTCACGCCCCTCCTGGGCCGCTGCCGCGCCACCTAGGCCCCGTCGCGCGTTCCCCTAGGCCCCGTCGCGCCCCTCCTGGGCCCCTATCGCGCCTCCTAGCCCGTCGCGCCCCTCATGGACCCCTATCGCGCCTCCTAGACCGTCACGCCCCTCCTGCGCCCCTGCCGCGCCTCCTAGGCCCTGTCGCGCCCCTCCTGGGCCCCCGTCGCGCCTCCTAACCTGTCGCGCCCCTCCTGGGCCCCTGTCGTGCCCCCTAGCCTGTCGCGCCCCTCCTGGGCCCCTGCCGCGCCTCCTAGCCCGTCGTGCCCCTCCTGGGCCCCTCGTGCCTCCTAGTCCCCGTCGCACCTCTCATGGGCCCCGTGTGCCTCCTAGCCCGTCGCGCCCCTCCTGGGCCCCTGTAGCGCTTCCTAGCCCGTCGCGCCCCTCCTGGGCCTCTGTCGCACCTCCTAGCCTGTCGCGCCCCTCCTGGGCCCCTCGTGCCTCCTGCCACCCTCCGTCCTGGCCCCACCGCGCTACCTGGCCCCGTCGCGCCTGCCTGGCCCTGCCGCGCCTCCTGGCCCCGCCGCCCCTGCCTGGCCCCGCCGCGCCTGCCTGGCCCCGTCGCGTCTGCCTGGCCCCGCCGCGCCTGCCTAGCCCCGCCGCGCCTGCCTGGCCCTGCCGCGCCCCCTGGCCCCGCCGCGCCTGCCTCGCCCTGCCGCGCCTCCTAGCCGCGCCGCGCCTGCCTGGCCCCGCCGCGCTGCCTGGCCCCGCCGCGCCTGCCTGGCGCTGCCGCGCCTCCTGGCCCCGCCGCCCCTGCCTGGCCCGTCGCGCCTTGCCTGGCCCCGCCGCGCCTGCCTGGCCCTGCCGCGCCCCCTGGACCCGCCACTACGGCCTGGCCCGTCGCGCATGCCTGGCCCTGCAGCACCTCCTGGCCCTGCCGCCCCTGCCTGGCCCCGCCGCGCCTGCCTGGCCCTGCCGCGCCTGCCTGGCCCCGCCGCGCCTGCCTGGCCCCGCCGCGCCTGCCTGGCCCCGCCAGCACCTGCCTGGCCCCACCACACCTGCCTGGCCCCTTCGCCCCGGCTCGTACTGCCGTACCGCCTCGGGCTCCGTCTCCTCTACTCGCCCGTGCTGAGGCGCTTCGCGGCCGCCGTGCTGGAGGGGGCTGTAGCTGTGTTCCTGCATCGGTGTGTTCCTGTGGAGTTGTGCCGCTAACCCTGCACGATGGCGGACTTCGTGCTCCGACTGGACGCCGAGGGCCATGCGGTTGACTTCGCCGCCTGGCTCTCCGATCTCCGCCGCCACCTTACAGGTCAGCGCCAGGATGGCCACTCTTTGGTTGTCCATGTTGACGGCTTGCTCCCCCGCCCCCCCGCACCTGCTCCTCTCCCTACTGATCCCTCTTCTGATGACTGTGAGACCTTCTCTACTGCTGCGCTTGCCCGTGCGGTCTGGGATTCCCGCGATGAAGTCGCTTAGGTCGCCATTAGCCACGCCCTCCCTATCTCTGAGCGCTCGCGTTTTGCTGCTATTGAGACGGCCAAAGCTTACTTAGACGCTGTTATTGCCCGCTATTCCACACCCGCGTCTGCTTCTGCTGGTCGCTTGCTCTTCCCTATGCTTTTCCCAGACCTTGCCGCTTTCCCTACCGTCGCAGACTTTGCCACTCACCTGCGTGCCCTAGAGACTCGCTATCGCACTGCCAGCACTGCTGCCCAGCTCACTGCTCTTCCCCCCCCATTCTGCATGACCCTCTATTTTATCGCCATGCGCCTGCCGGACCGCCTAGCTAGTGCTCGCGGTCACTTCCTTAGCCTGCACCCGGCTGACCTCACTCTCACTGGCTTTGTCGACACCCTCATCGAGATCGAGACTCGCCAGCGCACTATCGCTCAGTCGAGCGGTGCGCCGGCAGTCTCTAACTTTCACGGCTGTGCCCCCTCCCAGTGCACGTTCACTTACGTTTCGGCTGCGGTCGCCACGGCGACCCCCCTCACTGAGACGGCTGCTGCGGTCCACCCGCAGCAGCGCTCGCGCCGCGGTGGCCGTGGTCGCCAGGGTGGTAGGGGTGGTGGCGCAGGTAGTGGT